TATTTATGAGTTTGTCACAGGCTCCAAAAGTGTAGGCTCTCATTGGAACACTGCTGTAGTTTTTCATTAAGAATTAATAATGCAGAAACTTCTGTTATTCTGTATATGAATTGTATGCAGGTTTAATGTTGTTTGGGCAGAAATCAGTCTATTAATGAACTAATCCTTTAATATTTGCTTGTCTCCCAGCAGACCTATGTTTCCTCATCACAGCACATGGCTCCTCCCAGCCCCAGTAACAGCAGTGGTGGTGGAGAAGGAGGAGGTGGCGGAGGTGGAGAACAGCTGAGCAAAACCAATCTGTATATCAGAGGTCTTCCTCCCAGCACCACGGACCAAGACCTGGTGAAACTCTGCCAGCCGTAAGAAGCATTCCTATTTTTTTTGCTAAATGGATAAAATATTTAACGATAAATCCCTTGGCCATTGCTCTCTTTTTTTTCCCCGTCTTTCACATTTTGTTTTGGGTTGGTAGGCTTCTACTGATAGTCTACAAAGACTATTCCAAAGCTTGTATACTGCTTGTAGACTTTGATCTAAAAACACAGTAATGTTGTAGGAACGTTTCAGCAATGGGGTGCTGTTAAATTAAAAATAGTTGTAGACACCGGATGGTAACTTTCAGATGACATTCTAGTAGATTCAGTAGATCTTGTTCCCTCCTTTCCCTCAAGTGCATGCTGGTGAGTTTCTAAGTACACCGTTGTCAACTTCGGTACTCCTAGCACTTCAGTGCCATTTAAAGTGGAACTAAACCCTCCTATCTTTTACATCTGAAGACGTTGCCATTTTAACCTCTTTTTAGATCATGCAGTTCACATGGCGCTACATATGTGACAAGCATGACACCAGCCATTTGAGGGTTTGAGGCCTGGTACACATCAGGAGTTTTTGAACAGTTGTAAAAGTGCTTTTAAATGCCCAACACAAGAAAACCCATGATTTTCAATGGCCCTGGCTCACGCCTGAGCAGAAAAATGCCAGCAGGAAAAAGCCAACCCCCCCGAAAATGTACATGAGCTTCTTTGGGCAATTAAAACCACGTTTTTGCCCCATAGACGTCAATGGAAATGGGCAAAAACATCTTACACATTTTTGTGAGCGTTTTTGTATGTTTAGACACGGGTTCTTTCATTGCCCGCAATGTTTTCTTAAGCTGCCAGTAAAAATGCGTGTCTTCATGTAGGCACATAAAAACACATCAAAATGTGCAAATAACCGCATGCTGCTCACGAGTGTATAAATGCGCAAAAACGGTGCCGCCTAGGTTTGAACCTGGCCTAAAAGTTCAGTTGAGGGCTGATATAAGCACACTGGCAACTGTGATGGTTCTCAACAGATGCATGCCTTGAACATAACTGTTTTGGGGAACCATTAAATTGGTGGGTTTAGATATGCTGTAATATGTACAGGAAATATGTAGATGGATATTGTATTTAAAAGGAGAAGCTTTTAAGCGCAGTTAAAGTTCCAGAAATAGATTTATAGTCAGTCATTGTTTTCTCTGCAATATAGGTTTTTGTAAGGACACTTGTGATGAGGGGTGTGGCTGTTACTTAGCTCTGCCAACACATAACACTGGAGAGTGAGAGCAGGAAGTAACATTGTCCGGTAGAGAAAAATATATTTTTAGGCATTTTTAAGCAAAAATCAGTCAAATCTCAGCACGCATGGGTACGGAACTAAAAGGGGATGAAAAGATGTGAGACTTTAACTGATGTTTAAACTATGCACAGACCATAGGATTGGAGGTGGTTGAAGATCCCAACAGTCAGCTGAGCATGTTGTTCCCACTGTATTTAAATTGTTCTCCTTGCAGCATCTGGTATGCATTAAAAAGAAAAAAAAAAAACCCCAATATATAAGAAAAAAGGGATTGAAAAGTGTGAAACTTCAGTTATTGAACGTTAAATGCACACAGACACATTAAAGAAGTGTATACAGGCCCAGGCAAATCTTGCAGTCTGGTGACCCCAATCTTATTTTTGGGGTGTTCTAAGCTCCTGAGTCTATACAGCCTTCTTCAACCCCTTTATAATAAAACAGCACCCTGGGTTTGGGCCTTAGGATAGTACAGAATTGCCAGTGGTGGTTGTGTATAATAATTCATACTCCTTTAAGAAGAACTCCAGGATTTTTTTTAACTAAACCCTTGCAGTGGGGCTACCTGCACACTGCAAGGGTTAACTGCTCGTTTTTCTCTTGGGGCAAAAAAAAAAGAAGAAATACTCGCCCGATCCTCGGTCCTATTACAGTGACCGCTCACGTCCCCGTCCCCCCCTCTGCTTTGGCTGCTGGAATGTCCCTCAGCATCTTCACATCTTATAGACTGTATTAGGCGTGATGACATCACGGGTCCTTAGACCGCTGGAGCCCATGGGAGAAGAGGCTATGAGAATCGGTCTAGCAGACAGGCGGGACCGAGGACTGGGTGAGTATTTCTTCTTTATTGTCACCTCCTTGACATAACAAGCAGTTAAAGGAGAACTATGGGATAAGTGTTTTTCCCCATAGTTCTCCTAAGGGTCACGGGAGGACACAAACTAGCGTCCTCCCGTGACCCAAAGCTCAGTGTAGCCCGCGGTATACTGAGACCGCCGCAGCCGGGATGGATCCCGACATTACTGTCGAGATCCACACAGCTGCGTGATTGACAGCTGGCTCTGCCTATCTAGAGGCAGAGCCAGCTGTACCCTCCCCCATCCGTTCAGCCAGTGAGCGCTGGAGGATCGGACAGGGGAGGGGGAATCCCTGCAGGGAGCCGTGAGTGACAGTCACTGCTCTCCGCGGGACAGGATCGAGAAGTGAGAGAGCGACGGTATGTGTTCGCTCACTTCCCAATCTATTGAGCTGACGTGTGACAGTTTCATTGTCGCACATCGGCTTCAACTATGGGGTTGAGTGAAAATCACTCACCTCATAGTTCTCCTTTAACCCTTCCAGTCTAGAGTTCTGCTTGGCAAAGATTGGTTGTGTACACAAATGTGGTTTAGTGTGCTTCAGATGGCAAGGCTGCCTTTCTCTTCGAGTCTTGCCCTGATTGTGTCTGGACATATATACTCTGATTGCATGGAATTTATGAATAATTGCACTGAACAACAAGCAGATAGTGGTGGATTTTGTTATTATTTGGCTACTAGCTGGTCAGATGGGTTTTGTATGCAACAAATGAGCAAATATGCTTAGTTTTTTTGCAAAATATGATGATACATGGTAAAGTTGCATTTGGCTTTGTTTAGGAATTATATTGCAGCAATTTAGAGGAAGGATTTGGTGAAGGAACTAGGCAGCAATGCTGCATTAATAGGAATAATTTTTAGAAAAATGTTTATAAATCTAGTATTGTAAGAACATCACTTGTGTTGATTTTGTCCATTCTCAGTCTTAAAGCTGAACTCCAGGATAACCAAGTGTTGTCTAAATCTAAGTTTATTCGTACTTGAATCTTGGTGTGCTTTGTGTATTTCTTCCAGATCTGTGCAGTAATCCAGCGTGATCGGTTTTTGTTTTTTTTCCCTCTGTTCAGGAGCTCCCTGTAATAAAGACAAGTCACTGCTCCGCTCTCCTTGGGCAGGGTGACTGGTCTTGTATCTGCCCCTCCTGTAGTTTTCTGCAGGCAGATTGTAGTGGGTGGGGCCTGCTGGGTCCCTCCCACAGCTCTGCACAGGCCATGTAAAGTACAGTGATGATGTCACTGCTGCTTTTGCAAGGTAATATGTGGTTTGCAAAGGTATTTGGTGCACACAAAGTGGATTTATATTCTTTGTAGCTAATGTGGAATATATATAAATGAATTGCTTTGTATCTGGAGTTTAAGCTGTAAGGTACCCATAGACCTGAAATGATCACGGTTTTGCATATAGTGTAGGGAATGGGGGAAAAAATCCTTTGATTTTTTCTCCGGTGGTCTGTGTTGGAGACATTTTTCTTCACTTCTTGTCTCAGAGATGCAACAAGAAGAGGAAATCTCTTCAAAGTGAGAGAATTCCTCCCTTAGAAAGTTGGCACTATAAAACAGATGTGTCTTTTGGAAGATTTCTCTCACATCCTTGTTTTGGTGAAATGTTTCATTTCCTAATACTTTGTCTAGGTGACCATGGCCAGCAGGACAACTTGGGAGGGAGGATCTCCCCAGACAGCAGTGAAAACATGACAAGGGTTCTAATTTTTCCATCATTCCTGATCTATCCAAAACTAGAAAAAAGTTTTCGGCATACATAAACTTTAATTTGGCCAATTTTGGCAGCAGACACCACAGATCAGTTGTTCTGAGGCATCCTATGTGGACTTTCCATTGTACAAAAGGGTCTAGCTATTAATTGATACATACACATGTGCATGTTGGCGGTTGGCTCATGTTCACTTACTCAACCACCATCTAATATATCCGGCTACATTTAGGAAATTCAAGTTGTGAGCATAACTCTCTTTATTAGATTTAGAAGGGCTGTTACCATTTCTATTTTGTTGACATACAAGTGTATGTCCACATTTTATTTTATTTGTGTCCTAAAATCCTGTTTTTAGTGGGGGGTTTTGGTCAAGGAGAATTTGAAAAAAACTACTTATGTGTCTGGAGAGGATTCAACTCACTTCCCAGAGGTAATGTGGAAGTGTAGAATATTTATCAGCTTTGATACTCTTTCCAGTATCATAGCGTGGTTTCTCTTGTACCAAACATACAATACTCCGGAAGAAAACAAAGAAATCCTGATTGTAATCCAAGCATCTGCTTATGTCAGTTGTTTTGTCTAATGTCAGTGTTCTTTAGTCCATCAGGAGGAAACGTCCTACTGAGATTTGTTATCATGTCAGGAGATCAAGCATACACAGATCAGCCATAACATTATAACCACACACCTGATATTGAATGAGTCCCTCTTTTGCTGCCAAAACAGACCTGACCCGTCGAGGCAAGGATCCACTAGGCCTCTGAAGGCATGCTGTGGTATCTGGCACCAAGCCATCAGTAGCAAATCCTTAAAGTCCTGTAAGTTGCAAAGTCGGGCCTCCATGGAACAGTCTTGTTTTTCCAGCACATCCCATTGATGCTCAATGGGATTGAGATCTGGAAAATTTGGAGGCCAAGTCAACACCTCAAACTTGTTGTGTTCCTTAAACCATTCTTGAACCACTGTCATCAGAGAATACCATTTCCATGAATCAACAATGTTTAGGTAGGTGGTATGTGTCAAAGTAACATCCACATGAATGGCAGGATCCAAGGCTTCTCAGCAGAACATTGCCTAAAGCACCACACTGCTTCTGCAGGCTTGCCTTCTTCCCATAGTGCATCCTGGTGCCATCTCTTCCCCAGGTAAGCAACACATCCACATGATGTAAAAGAAAACATGATTCATCA